TAGAGTGCTGTGACATCACAACTCACAGCAACTTCAAACTCCTGGACTTAAGTGATTCTCTTGTCTCAGCCTCCCAAGTAGCTGGGACTATAGGCACCCACCACAATGCCCAGCTACTTTTTGTTGTAGTTGTCATTGTTGTTTAGCAGGCCCAGGCCCAATTCAAACCCACCAGCCTCAGTGTATGTGACTAGCACCTTAACCACTGTGCCACAGGCGCTGAGCCTAATCTTTTAAATGGTGAAAAACTGGAGCCAGCTTTAAAGACAATCAATAGGGAAGTGGTTAGTAAACTATGCTAATCACACTATATGGAATACTATGTAGCTATTAAGGTAGGGTAGACTTATAAGTAGTATACATGAGAAGATGTTCACAATATAATAAGTGGAAAAAACCTGCTTTGATTAACAGTATGCATAATATGATCTGATTTTCTAGAAAGTGTGTTTGCTCTAAGGTCTGGAAAAAAATATTTACACCAAATAATAATCATTTTTTGGTAATGGATAATCAGTTTCCATATTTTTCATCATTTTAAACTTTGGGTTACAATAAGCATACATAATTTATAATTGCATAATATGTTATCATCAAAAGTCATATATGGGATGGATCTAGGCAAAGGCTTTAAGATTGTTTTAGCTCAAAATGAGATTATGGAATTAATCAGAACCCTTAAAAGCTCTTTGCTCTGCTCAGAAGAACACTTGTTTGGTTTTTTTTTTTAATTTATTTTACTTTTTCTTTTTGAGATAGAGTCTTACTTTGTTGTTCTCGGTAGAGTGGTGTGGAGCCATAGCTCACAGCAACCTCAAACTCTTGGGCTCAAGAGATCCTCTTCCCTCAGCCTCTCAAGTAGCTGGGACTACAGGCACCCACTACAATGCCTGGCCATTTTTTAGAGACGGGGTCTTGCTCTTGCTCAGGCTGGTCTCGAACTCCTAAGCTCAGTCTCCTGCCGTGCTAGAATTACAGGTGTAAGCCACAGTGCTCAGCCCAACGCTGTTATTTTTGAGACAGGTGTCTGCCAGCCCCTTCACTTGATGGAAAATTTAATAAACTTCTCTTTACTTCTCCTCAGAAAAAAGAAAGAAAGAAAAAGTCATATATGCTTCCATAAATACTACCTGAGAAAAAAAAATTCCAGGCAAAGAAGAATTTTTTTTTTGGCCGGGGCTGGGTTTGAACCCGCCACCTCTGGCATATGGGTCCAGTGCCCTACTCCTTTGAGCCACAGGAGCTGCCTGAAGAATTTATAAAGAAAGAAGGAAAAAGTATGTCCTGAACATACTTTTAGATAAAATACTATCCCTAGAGGTAGTCATTGTCAAGTATTAGTTCTTTTGCAGTTTTTGGCTGGGGCCGGGTTTTGAACCCACCACCCCCAATATATGGGGCTGACACCCTACTCCTTGAGCCACAGGTGTCGCCCAATTTTGGTTCTTTTGGACCTTTCCCAATATAAACAGTGTATGCTTATAAATGCACAAATATAATTTTAATTTTTCTCAAAGTGGAATTATATGAAAAAATTACATGTAGTAGACCCTCTCAGTAAGTTGACCACAGAAAGGACTATAACTAACTGCTCAACATACAGAAGTGGTTAACATAAGGAACTAGGCCAACTGTACTGACATGTACGTGTAGTACCAGGTTTTCTCGAAAATAAGACCTACCCTCAAAATAAGCCCTAGCAGGATTTCTATGCATTTGTTAAATATAAGCCCTACCCTAATAATAAGACCTAGTGATGCATTTTGGTGCAGAGTGGTAAGGAAGACTGGAATACCTTTTATCTGCCATAGCTCCTTTCTCTGAGCTGTTTGCACTTGCACGGGTGCACATGTGGTAACCATGGTTGCAGGCATCCTACTGCGCACATGCGAAGAGCTAGGGGAAAGGAGTTCACGCATCACTAGTGCCAGCCCCACCAACAAGGCCAGCTCCCCTTGTCAGGTTCCAGAAGATGACTTAACTGTATTTGAATAAATGTAGATTGTTGTATTGTACTTAATAAAAACAAGTCATCCCCTGAAAATAAGCCCTAGTGTGTCTTCTTGAGAAAAAATAAATATAAGACAGTGTCTTATTTTCAGGGAAACACAGTACATGTCTGGTCTATGAAAATTAGGTCAACTTAAGGTGGTGGTCAACTATGGAAATTCTACTGTATGTAGAGGTTACTGTATATATACTGTATGTATATATACTATGTATATGTGTGTATATACATATATATATATATTTTTTGAGACAGGTATTACTCTATTGCCCCAGGTAGAGTGGAGTGGCATCATCAGAGCTTACTGCCATCTCAAACTCCTGGACTCAAGTAATTCTCCCACCTCAGCCTCCTGAGTAACTGAGGCTATAGGTGCATGGCACTATGTCCAGCTAGTTTTTCTATTTTTTGTAGAGTCAAGGGGTCACTATGTTGCTCAGACTGGTCTCAAGCAATTCTCCTATCTTGGCCTTCTAAAGAGCTAGGATTTCAGGCATAAGACACCAGGCTTGTCCACACTAAATATATTTTTATGCAACTTAAATGTTTTTCACATAATATCTAGATTTATCTTGTTCCATGTTAGTATGTTTATATTACTTTCCTTAAATACTGCATACTATTTGATATTATCATTTGGATTAGCTTTTTAATCAGAAAAGATGAAACTATTTCTTTTAAAACAAAAACCAACACCTGATGAACTTTGCAACCCATTAGTCTTGAGTGCCCCCTACTGGGGATACTCACTGATATTAACAGAATACTAAACCACAATAGCAAGAAATAATTCAAACATAGGGTAATGACAAAAAAATCTGCAAACTCAAAGAAAAGATGTATGATTTTAAGTTTAAATGATTCTATTGGGAGAGTTCTTCATTTATATTACAGGTGTGTTGTAAGGAATCAAGTCAAATAGTTTGACCTTTCATCTCATTTCCATACAATGTGTATATTTGTGTCAGTGATGAGATGGGGTTGCAGACTAGGAAGTAATGACATAGAGGCAATTAAAAAAAAAGTTTTGAGTTGGGCAAGGTGGCTTATACTTGTAATCCTAGCACTCTGAGAAGCTGAGGTGAGAGAATCACTTAAACTCAGCAATCTGAGACCACTCTGAGCAAGAGTAAGACCCCATCTCTACTAAAAATAGACAAATTAGCCACATGCAATGGCACGTACCCATAGTCCCAGCTACTTGGGAGGAAGCTGAATCCGAATGATCTCTTGGGCCCATGAGTTTGAGGTTGCAGTGAACTATGATGACAACATTGCACTCTAGCCTGAGCAACACAGTGAGACCCTGTTTCAGAAAAAAAAAGTTTTACCTCACTCCTTTGTATCTTTTCACTTATGTGCTTATATTTAATCTCTCTTCTCACATTTCAAATTTAGAAGTTATTTAGACATATCTCAAACATTTAGGTTGTTTACACTATGTAATTTTCTTTTTACTTAGTCTGTGGTTATATACTAGGTAATAATCAAAGTCTCAAGAGTAAAAGAAAAATAGAGATGTTAGAAAAAGGTTCCCTCTTTAGACAAAGATAACAGTGCAATTACCAAAGTTAACATTTCCTTACCAAAGTCAATTTTTTAAAATGAAGTATTAGCTATGCTTGTTATTTTATAGGAAAACTGACATACAACATTTATGACTAGAGCTAATTTTTTACAGAAACCAAACCAAAACTATACTTAAAATGGCATGTCTATATTATTTGCTTTTCGTCAAGCAAATTCTATTTTGCTATTCTAGATATCATTATTTTATACAGTCTTGATTTTGTTATGTAATTCTCTTCACTGGTAATACTTACAGCTAACTTGTAGCTATTTGCAAGGCTGATCATTTGCTGGGCGAGGCCATTTAACAACCGAGTACGAAGAGATAGGTCATCTATGTCATGACGAAAAGGAAAAGCAATACCATCCACTATTACTAATCGAACCTAAATACAAAAGAAATAATGATATTAAATTAGCTATGAAAAATGAAATAATAAAAGTGGCATCCATTACAGAAAAAAAGCTTAAAATCCATCATTTTATGTCTAACTCCTCAAAGAATGGTTTTCTTGTGGAAAGGTGGGTTTTTTTGTTTGTTGGAAGACACAGAGTATTGCTCTGTTACACAAGCTGGAGTGCAGTGGTATCATCATAGTTCACTGCAGCATCATAATCCTGGGCTCAATGGATCCTCCTATACCCCTGAGTAGGTTGGATCACAGGGATTACTACACCCAAATGAGAGTTGTAAATCCATTTAACCAATGCTTTCTGTAGTAATCACTAAAAGTTAAAATGTACTATGGTTTGATAACATAGTAGCTTAAAATAATCCAAAAAGAAAGAGGAAAAATTAAAAGTTTCTTATAACTTGCCAGTATACAAAGTTTTTACTAATAAAAAGCACATTTAAAGTCTTGCTGATCCCAGCACTTGGGGAGGACAAGGTGGGTGGATTGTCTAAGCTCATAGGTTCAAGACCAGTCTGAGCAAGAGCGAGATCCCATCTCTAAAAATAGCCAGGCACTGTGGCGGGCACCTGTAGTCTCATCTACTAGGGAGGCTGAGATAAGAGAATAGCTTGAGCCCGAGACTTTGAGGTTGCTGTGAGCTGTGATGCTAGAGCACTCTACTGAGGGCTAAGAGTGAGACTGTCTCAAAAAATAAATAAATAAAAATAAAGGCTCTGGGCTC